CCCGGACTGACTCAAATTTCAGTTGCTAATTAGCCAGTACGCCACTGCGACTGATACCCATGTCCATTACGATGTGACGCAAATTGAAACTCCCAATTAACACCCACTCCAGATGACTATGTAACTGTATCAGCACTTTGAAACGCTAACTGTTCTTTGCAAATTTCTCTCAAGTCTGACGACGACCAGTGTCGAAAATTTACTGAATAAAATTACTTATTTTCCCAAAGGATGCTTTTCCTTGAAATTACATTTCTTGGGATGCCTGCCATTCAGTTTATACGACGCATTTTATTGTGTTGGGCATCACATTGCGTGGTTGAGGAACCTTGTACTGACGGTCATGCAGGCACGTCAACACAAATTTCGCAAATCCGGACTGGGTTAGTCTACCTTTCTAGAGTTTAGGTGTAGTGCTTGCATTATTTTACTGGCTTTTTCTCTTACCTTAATGCGTGCCTACTTGTCCTTTGGCCTAACTGTTTTTACCCCTGACGGCCATCTTTTAGGATCTTCACCGGCGCATGCTTGCTCGAGTTCTACGCGCACCCTGCTACTTCTTTGATACTACGCCACAGGGCCGCATCCTCATTCGCTTCAGTTTTGACATGGACAGCGTCGATCACCAACTCGACGCCTCATTTAGAGCAGTCATTACGTACCTGCTAAACACTGCTACCACCCTGGTGGTCGTCTTTATCACAATTCGGCCCTGGTACTTCAGCGTGGGCAGTTTTGTAGTCTTCACCGTCCTCTACACCTCTATCCAGCTATTCTATCTGCCTATCTCCCGACAATGTCGCCGTCTCAACTCGACCAGTAGGTCACCCCTGCTGGCACACTGTAGCGAAACTGCCGCCTCTCTGCTGGGCGCATCGGTTGTGCGTGCGCACGGCAAGGTGGAGGACTTTTTGGCGACGGCCGATCGGCTGATTGACAACAATGCCCTCTTCCTCCTCATACGCTCTCTTTCCAATCGTTGGCTAGACTTCCGTCTTGACGTGAGTCTTGCACTCATTCCTCTTTGCCCATGTTTGCTCTTTCTTACCAGTAAAATTGCATAATCCGGACTCTCTACCTTCCATAAAAAACCTCATTTAGCTAGCAAATGAAGACCTTTGCATGCGGAATGAGGGGCTGAATAGTCCTCTCCTAGAGCGTTACCGTAAGACGGCTACCCTTGCTTCGTAAGAGTGCAAATACTTCAGTTACAATAACTTGTTGTCAATTTAAAGCCTATTATGAGCAAATGGTGAGCATCATCTTAATATATAACCGAACGCCTCCACACCTAAATGGTCACATTTAGAAGACCATATTTACGCAACTGGGACGCATTGCCATATAGTTGCTACTTATTTCTTTTAGGTAGTTGGAACCAACTTAGTAAACATTTTTACGAAAACCGCAGGCCTCACCCTTATAACCAATTGATTAGCCGATTTGAGGGGCCCACATGCGCTTCATTCCTATCTATTATTATAACCATAGAGTCCCTTATGCTGAATTAAGCGGTCGGACATTGTTGTATCTACTTGCCCTAGACCGTGCAATTTTTCATAATTCTAATCATCTCATCGGCTTCCAGTGGACCAAGGTTAACTAATTATCAAGCTCGTGTTACGAACTAACTATAAACCATATAAGAAGGCGAGTACATAGGAAACTCTCTTGTTCACAGTTTACAAACTCGCACGTAGGTGTTAACATAATAGATTTTCGGTAGAAGAAGTTCCTTTGGAAAAAGGAAACAATAAAGTAAAAGTTAAGACGTTCTCTGGGACCAGGAGTCTATTTGTCCGACGTTTCGAACTCTCCCGCGAGCTCATTGTCAAGGAATGAAAAAACGTACAGCTCACAGTGTAATTAAGTTGGTTTTGCCGGCATTGAACTCTGCCCTCGATCTGCTCGCGCAACGCGAGGTAGGCATCAGGAAGCTCGAC